CAAAAAATTCTCAAAAAAATAATAACATTTTGCTTTGGGTTATATCTATTCAAAAGAAAGGAAGATTAAAGGTTTGAAACCTTGACATAGTTTTTGTACAATTGTTTAACAAGACTACAAGAGGGTTTGTGAAGATATCATCTTCAGAAGCAAAAAAAAAACGTCAATATATTATTTTTCTAAGTATATATTGAGTAAGAGTTTGTAAAAAAAATGGTGAGGAAGGTTCGAATTTTTTTTTTTTGGTTTAGTATAATATAGTATAAAAAAATTAGGATAAATGTGTCTTTTTACAAGTAAGAAGAAGTAGTTTTCAAAAAAATATAAAAGTGGTATATTTTTCAAAGAAAAATTTCAAAAAATGCCACATTTTTGAAATTTTTAAAAAAATGCCACTTTTTCAAAATTAGTTTTTTTTATATTATTTATGTTTGGGTTAATTGTGTTCTATTAGGGTTTAGTTTTGAGTGTTTAGGGGGTTTTAGGTGTCAAAACATTTTTTAGGGTTTAGAATTTTAAGATATAAGCTCTATAAATCTATAATTAGTGACATTTTTGTAAATGGACACCCTTAAATGGCATTCTTGCAAATGTGCACACAAAAAGTGGCATTTTTGTAATTGCCCATTTTTCAAATTAGAAAACATAAAGAGGGTATTTATCAAATAATCCCAAAAATTTAAATATGATTTTACAAATATTCTGGATTTTGTATAACGGATGTGCATGTTAAAAATAGCCTGCTATATGTAAAATTAAAAATAATGTGCTAAAGAAAAATATCACCGAAAAATATAGGGAAAATATAAATAAAATTTGAAGAATTACCACACAATTTGCCATCTATTTCACTATTTGTGTGTTTTTGCAAATGGATGATGTTACATCATAATTATAGATGAAATACTTGCTTAAAACGCATAGCGGATTAAGAAGTCTTCGATGTGCGAGAAGTTTGAGGATTAATAATTATACTTAGAACAAAGTTCCAATCAACAACAAACCGTTGTCTTAATAAGCCAGCCGTCAATTGCGTCCACATTGCTTGGGAAAATTGACATGTGAAGAAGAGATAATCCCGAGTTTCTGATTGTGTTGAACACAAACATCCTTTTATTTTATAATGCAACAATTATAATTTTCTAAATTAGAACATTTGAAATTTTGTGATATAAATGAGTTCAAATGTAAGTAACTTTTAAGTCTTAAGGCATTTTACAAAATGTTTTTCAGCTATAAAGGAATCAGTTAATAGATGAATAGTTGAGGTCATTGCAAGATACGGAGCCAACAATTTCTTTTGAGGTT